ATCCACGGACGCAGAGTGAAGATTTTCCACTGCTGCTCCACCCCATCCCCACGTCTCGCCAAGACACTCAAGCTTCACCACTTGAACTCTTCGGAAGTTACCGAGAGAGCAAGATCCCGCCCTACCGACGGGTACACAAGGTGAGGAAAGTTCAGCAGAACACGGATCATCGGGGGACCCCCTCCGTTAGTCGGTGTCTGGGCGCAGTTGGTAAGTTGGATCTGGCAATCTCGCAGATTTTGCTGATCCCGCTACACCACACCTGCCATCTTCCGAACCGACTCGAACTGAGAGTCGTTTATTTGGGAGAAGTCGTTCCTATCCATGGCAACGAACTTCGGAGGTTCAGGTAGTCTACCCGCGATGGCGTGGATTGACTACAAGTGCTACCAAGTGTGACGGGGTCACACAGCACCTTGCGCTAGAGGAAGTTATCTTCCGAGAGTATACAAACTCTCAGTGAACGGCAGTTCACAGGTCCCCTCTTTAATTAAAGAGAGCGAAGTGACCTAAATAAGGTAGATTGTAAACTGAGTATATTTATAGGTAGGTTAAGTTTGTGGTTAATACAAACTATCAGTTACCTATAGAAATGCAATGTCATTTAACCAATGGTTGGTTTTGAATGACCTTGGTACCTTGTACCAAATATCCCGGAGTATGACATGTCATACTCCTGAAGTGTGAAGTGTCACACTTCATGTAACCAGGGTACACTTAGTGCTACGTACCCCGTTACACTACCCGCGGTGGCGTGGATTGACTACCAGTGCTACCAAGTGTGACGGGGTCACACAGCACCTTGCACTATTAATAGAGGAAGTTGGCTTCCTAGAGCTTACAAACTCTCAGTGAACGGCAGTTCACAGGTCCCCTTTTACCGAAAGGGAGCGAAGTGTGTAAACTGAGTATATATATAGGTAGGTTAAGCTTAAATACAAACTATAAATCACCTATAGAAAAGCAATGTCATCAACCAATGGTTGGCTTTGGACGACCTTGGTACCTTGTACCAAATATCCCGAATTATGACGTGTCACGCTTCATGTAGCTAGGGGTACACTTAGGGCTGCGTACCCCGTTACATACATCATCCGGCACGTTTAGTTGCGCAGAACCACTTACACGATTGGTTACTCGGGTAACCCGAGACCGGGTACAAAAATCGGAAATAAAAGGACATGGATTAGCTAACCAATTTAACAGCGCACAAAACCTGCTTCTAAATCCGACCTGGTTCTAGAATGAAGTTTGCCTTCCACTTTCCTCAGCACTAATATGTTGTGGGTAGACAAGTACCGCCCGACATCGCTCTCGTCGCTGGACTTCCACCCGGAGGTGACCAAGCGCTTGTCCAACCTGTCGCAGTCGTCGGACTTGCCCCACCTTCTTGTGTATGGTCCGTCGGGCGCCGGCAAAAAGACGCGCATCATGGCGCTACTGCGTGCGCTCTACGGGGACGGCGCCTTGAAGGTTCGATTGGAGCACAAGTCGTTTAAAGCCCCAAACCGCAGCACTAAAGTGGAGATTACCACGGTGGCCAGCAATTTCCATATTGAGATGAACCCGTCGGACGTGGGCAACAACGACCGCCTCGTGGTGCAGGAAGTGCTTAAGGAGATCGCCCAGTATCATTTGGCTGATACTAATGCCCATAGACCTTTTAAGGTTGTGCTGCTAATGGAAGTGGACAGACTGAGCAAGAACGCGCAGCACGCGCTGCGTCGGACCATGGAGAAATACACGGCCACGTGCCGCCTCATTCTGTGCTGCAATAACCCGAGCAAAGTGATCGACCCACTGCGCAGCCGTTGCCTCGGAGTGAGAGTGGGCGCCCCTACGACTGATGACATCTGCACAATCCTTCAGGGTGTTTGCAGCAAGGAAGGACTCGACTATTGCGCTCCGTTGGGCAAGGAAATCGCCCTCAAGAGCGAGCGGAATCTGAGGCGTGCGCTACTCATGCTCGAAACGTGTCGCGTTCAGAAGTACGAGGGATTTTTGGTGCTAGATGGGGAAGGGGGGGGGGGGCTTTTGCTGACTGACTACTGTCTTGATAATACTGCAGTTACCCGTTCTCGCCCGACCAACAGATTCAGCTACCGGCATGGGAGGAATACATTTGCAGTCTGGCTAAGGTGGTGCTGCAGGAGCAATCGCCCGCTGGGTACGTCGAGCTGCTGATCTGCTTTGGACTTCTTTCTGATGATCTTTTTCTTTATGTTGCTGCTGCTGTTGCAGCCTTCTGAAAGCCCGCGAGATGATCTACGAACTCATCTCCAACTGCGTGCCGTCCGAGGTGATCCTGAAGGTTCTGTGTCGCGAACTCATGAGCCGCCTGGACGACGATCTCAAGCACGAGCTGGTGCAGTGGGCGTCGTACTACGAACATCGAATGCAGCGTGGCTCCAAGGATATTTTCCACTTCGAGGCCTTCCTGGCCAAGTTCATGACGCTCTATAAGAAGTTTTTGCTAGAGCTGTACATGTAGCGACCTACAGGTACTAGTATTAGCGAGCAATAAAGCTCTCCATCCCTTTCAGTTGTTCCCCGTTTTATGCAGTTTGCCAGTTATTATTTGACCATGTGGCATCTGGCTGTGGTGATTCGCTTTGAGGCGCTGCGAAACTTCCTATCGGCCGACGAGCGCGAGAGGGTCAAGGCAGCGCTGTTCGAGCGGCGTCATATCAACGCTGAGAGCAGTGGATATACGGCGGAGGAAGATGCGACTGGAGCCACCAACAACGAGGCGGAATCGGCGCATCTTGAGAGGTGAGTGGAGGTCTTTTCTGCTTTTGGTCTTTTTGTGCTAATTGCTGCGTCAACTGCTGCTCAGATGGAAGAAGTGGAAACTCGAAGGCGACAAGATCCACCAGCTCACGTCAACCGCTAGCGCTGCAGCGAATGAGGCGCTGAAAGAGCTGGAGACGAGTGTGGCTAATCTGCGTTTTTTTGCTCGAGGGAAAAGAGGTGTTTTGTATGCGGGTGAAATGCGCTCGACCGACAATCCGGTGGTTGCCAAACTGGCAGCCGACGCTACGTCTGCTGGGTCGGTGACTCTGGAAGCACGTTGGCTTCAAGTGGTGAACCGCATGGGAATTGGAGCGAGGCTGGTGGATGCAGGGAAGGGCTGGTTCTTGTGCGAACGACTCGAGGGCAAGAACGTGGTCGAGTTTCTAGGAGACGGAGATGAGGCCACGACGTCTGCCAACGCCATGTGGGTCGTCCGCGAGATGCTGTGCCAGGTACCTGTGCGCGCCTTTTTCGGTGCTATCTTGTGGAATATTGCTGTCACTAATATCGAGCCAGTGCTTTGCTATGGACCTCATGGGGATCAACAAGGAAGAGATGACACACCCGCATCGCCACATTATCGTGCACCGCTCCACGCACCAGCAAGTGCGTTTGGCGGTGTACGTTTGTGGACTTTGAAAAATGCTCGTCCACCAAGAAACCCCAAAAACGTCACGCAACTCTGCCAGGTGCGATAAGGTCCTTCATCGATAGCAGGCCTTGACTAGTTTTAACTCCATTCTGCGTTTTGCGCTGGCAGTTCCTGAGCTCGCCACGGATGGTTGCGCTTTTGGCAAGTAAACATGTCAAGGTGGATGTGCTAAAGCTGCGGCAGTGCACCAAGCGCTACAAGCAAAGCACCTCTACAAAAACGTTCGGCGACATCATGCGAGTTGTCGGACTGTAGCAAGCAGCATGCTTACTAACTACTACGTAGTATACAGAGCTCTACTTTCCACTCCATCCTGCGCCACCCCATTGCCTCACTTTCAGATTTACCGACTTGAACTCACGAGAGGAGCCCCCCCCCCCCACCCCCACCACTAAATGGCCCCACGGAACACTCGCTACTGGCGCAGCTTCCTCCACAATCTGCTGTGTCCTCCCGATGTCTCCAGCTCCGAAACATCATACGACGGCGTGTGTTTCTTCACACTCTCGGGTCGGGTTGAGTACCGCGACGGCTGCTTCCAAGCCTCGTCCTCTGACGCCTCCTTGGAAGTGGATCCGCTGCAGATTCTGGCCATTTTCCACCAGCTCGCGCGTCAGGCTATTCAGGAGGAGAGAGACGCCCACCAGGACCCAGGAGCAACCAAGCGCCCGATCTCCAGCTTAACGCCCGCACTGAGACTAAGTGGCTGTGTCTTCCACATTGTCTCCGCCACTTTTTCGAGCATACGCGCTGTGGCGAGCGGCAAATACTGCGGTCTTATAGTAGAGAAGCTCCCCTTCGGCGTTCTGGTCGTGGGCTTCTCGTCGCCTCTGAGGCTTGAGGCGATCTTCGGCCGCATCCATCACGCATGTACAGCCCTACGACGCTGAGCCATTTCTAGCCAATAATCATTCGGAAAAGGTGACTCAATTAGCGAGGTCTCTACCATGTACTTCTGCGCCGCCTGCAACGTATACGTCAAGGACTCGTGCGTCGCTGAGCATGACCAGACAACAGCCCATCTACTATCCAGCTCCAAGGGCGTATCGGTGCGAAAAGGTGAGCAGACTGTGGAGGTAGATTGAGTAGACATGCAACTCTTGACCCATGTGAATTTCTAAAGTTTGGCTGCCCGAGACGAACCGTGGCTATCAGATGCTCAAGTCCATGGGCTGGCAGGAAAACGGTGGACTGGGGCCTACAGGGGACGGCAAAGTGACGCCCATTGCGACGATCTTCAAGACGGACAGAGCGGGTGTCGGAGTCCAGTCCACTGCCAAACAGGCGCGAGTCACCCACTTCCCAGCGCATGACGAGCAGCAGGCCACAATGGCGGCAGATGGGCGTAGTGAAGCACAACGCACACAGGACAGACTCGCCCTTAAGCGGAAGCAGGCTCAACAGCATCCAGTTGGACTCCCAAAGGCGCAAAGGAAGTTACAGAAGCCGAACGAGCAACGACGAGACCGAGCTATTGGCAACGAGCTGTACTCGGAAGGATTGGAAGGATACGAGGAGTTTCTGTGATAAACTGGCGTCGACCAGGACACAGCAGTTATTGCTTTGTTGGGTATTTATGGTCACTTGAGCTTGTGCTTGTGCTTGTTGCTTCCTCACTGAATACTCCGTCATAGTTTCGATGTATGTGTTGATTAATGCAGGGTCGATCTTTCCTACGAGCTCGTCGAAGAAACTTTGCCGTCCAAACACCGACACTCAGTGGAGGAAGCCTTACTGTTTGTTGAAGGGATGATTTGCGCAGAGCTGTTAGGGTCCCTAACTTAGGGATGAATATTGATATGCGGCTTAGGGCATATTAGAACAGGGTTAATTCAAGACTGATATTTCTGTTAGTTTGTGTTGTGTCTTGTCTCCAAGAACTTAGAAAGAAATGTATGACACGTCAGACTTCGGGATATTGGGTACAAAGTACCAAGGTCGTTCAAAGCCAACCATTGGTTAACGACATTGCATTTCTATAGGTGACTTATAGTTTGTATTAAACCCAAGAATATCTACCTATAAATATACTCAGTTTACAATCTACCTTATTTAGGTCACGTCACTCTCTTTTGAATAAAGAGGGGACCTGTGAACTGCCGTTCACTGAGAGTTTGTATACTCTCGGAAGATAACTTCCTCAGCGCAAGGTGCTGTGTGACCCCGTCACACTTGGTAGTACTCGTAATCTGTAACGGGGTACGTAGCACTAAGTGTACCCTGGTTACATGAAGTGTGACACTTCACACTTCAGGAGTATGACATGTCATACTCCGGGATATTTGGTACAAGGTACCAAGGTCATTCAAAACCAACCATTGGTTAAATGACATTGCATTACTATAGGTAACTGATAGTTTGTATTAACCTCAAACTTAACCTACCTATAAATATACTCAGTTTACAATCTACCTTATTTAGGTCACTTCGCTCTCTTTAATTAAAGAGGGGACCTGTGAACTGCCGTTCACTGAGAGTTTGTATACTCTCGGAAGATAACTTCCTCTAGCGCAAGGTGCTGTGTGACCCCGTCACACTTGGTAGCACTTGTAGTCAATCCACGCCATCGCGGGTAGACTACCTGAACCTCCGAAGTTCGTTGCCATGGATAGGAACGACTTCTCCCATATGAACGACTCTCAGTTCGAGTCGGTTCGGAAGATGGCAGGCATCTTCGGGATGGAGGCCCTGCAGAGCCTGGTGGTATCAACACCGGCTGAGCAGCTCGAGCGCGTCAATGCATTCGACGCGTACGAGCAGGGCCTCATCGCGCATGTGCGGGAGAACCTGCAGGCTCCGGCGGCGGGAGCAAACCCGCCTCACCCGAAGCCAATACGGCTGAAGGTAAAGCCGTATGAAGGGAAGGAAGGCGAGAGCCTTCACTTCTGGGTCCGAGAAGTAGAGCTCGCGATGGACGCGGCTCTGATCTCGACCGAGCAACTGCGTGTTGCTTTTGCACTCTCCAACCTTAGCGGTCGTGCTAAGAGTTGGGTGTACACTCGGGAAGCGACATCCCCTGGATGTTTCACATCCTGGCTCAGCTGTGCGA